TAGCCGGGCGTGGTGGCGGGCGCTTGTAGTCCCAGCTACTCCGGAGGCTGAGGCAGGAGAATGGCGTGAACCCGGGAGGCGGAGCTTGCAGTGAGCCGAGATCAGGCCCCTGCACTGCAGCCTAGGCGACAGAGCGAGACTCTGTCTCAAAAAAAAAAAAACAGAAAAAGAAAAAGATAAAAATACTTTTTCTTCATGACATTTTATAAGGACAGGTGTTTCTTACTTTTAGCAGTAAAAAGAAATGAGATATTAAAGAGAGATGAAATTCACAGCTAATGCCTCAATTCTATTTTCATGTATAGCCATCTACTTCTCCCATTGAACTTACATGCTTTTTAGGTAGCATTTTTGGTATTTTAAATTTTATCTCTTTTTTATGTTCCCTTGTAGAAAGTTGACAGATAATCCCTAAAGCTGTCAGTAGATTGGCAATAAGAAGGAAAAGTAAAGACAGTATCTAAGTTAACAAGTAGTTGCTATGTGACAGGGAACTGAATGAATTATATTTTTCCTTGGACAGATTTCACAGAGATGATGAGAGCCCTGGGATACCCTCGACATATTTCTATGGAAAATTTCCGTACACCCAATTTTGGACTTGTATCTGAAGTGCTTCTCTGGCTTGTGAAAAGGTTAGAACTGCACGTTATTGATGTCTAAGAGTGAATGCTGGATTTTATTTGTCAGTCACCCAGAAAACAGGACAAAGCTGTGATGCTGCAAAAGGAAGAGTTGTTTGGGTTTGACAGACCCAATTGTAATCTGTTGAAACGTAGCTGTGGCTGAGCACAGTGGCTCGTTCCTATAATCCCAGCACTTTATAATCTCAGGAGTTCGAGACCAGCCTGGTCAACACAGCACGACCCTGTCTCCACACACAAAAGAACAATTAGCTGAGCGTGGGTGGTGCACACTCATAGTTCCAGCTACTCAGGAGGCTGAGGCAGGAGGATCACCTGATTCTGGGAGTTTGAGGCTGCAGTGCCACTGATCATGCTACTGCACACCAGCCCGGGCAGATTGAGACTGTGTCTCAAAAAAAAAAAAAAGAAAAAGAAAAAATCAGTGGAGTTTAAAAAATGCTGTGGGAGAGGGAACTATACCAGGAAGTGGTGAAAGGAGACTGACTATTCCTCAGTAGGGTGCTGGGCCAGGCTGCTCTTCAGCGCCTCACTGCAGAGTGACAGGGGCCTTTTTGCACGTTCTAATCAATACAGTTGATTAGAAATAATGTAGGTTTCTTTTTCTGTGAAAAATTGAATATGATATATGATTCAGGGTTGGCAGCTTTTTCTGTTAAGGACCAGATAATAAACATTTTACCTTTGCTAAACATAAGAGACTGCATACGATCTCTATTGTCTCTTCTTTTTATTAAAATGTAAAAAGAGTTCTTAGTTTGGAGGCTGTACAGGTTGGAGGCTGCAGTCTGCTGACCCCTGCTATCAATACCTTGAAGAAAATAACTTCGTCAGCTCTGCTGCTGCTTAGAGCTGACTAATCAGCCCTAGCACTGCTCTGAGTCAAGGGCCATCAGCCAGAGTAGCAGTTCTGATTAGTTTCATGACATGTTGAGGTCTGAGAGAGATTTAATTTTATAAGCTGAGACCCACATTCAGTTTTTGAAATCTTTTGTTCTTAGGTGGGGATTTGCTCCCTTGGTATTTTGGTTTTACTTTTGAAGTTTGCATTGATCTTACTATCACGCTTGGGGACTTGGAGAGCTTTGTTCCAGACACCCTGTCCTCTCAATTGCCCACATTCTCTTTAGTGGACTTTCTCCTTGGTTAACCTGTGCTCTCTCCTCTTACCTCTCTGATAGGTATGAGCCCCAGACTGACATCCCGCCTGACGTGGACACTGAACAGGACCGAGTTTTCTTCATTAAGGCAATTGCCCAGTTCATGGTTAGTGGACACTTATTTTGTGGAGTTGTAAAATTAAGTAAACTAGAAAGGATGACTCCTCATTAGGGCTACTTTGAAACTGAGTAATTGAATTTTTCTTTCTTTTTTTTTTTTGAGATGGAGTCTCATTCTCTCGCCCAGGCTGGAGTGCAGTGGTGCAATCTTGGCTCACTGCAACCTCCACCTCCTGGGGGGTTCTCCTGTCTCAGCCTCCTGAGTAGCTGAGATTACAGGCACACGCCACCACACCTGGCGAATTTTTGTGTTTTTAGTAGAGACTGGGTTTCACCATGTTGGCCAGACTGGTCTCAAACTCCCATCCTCACGTTATCCACCTGCCTTGGCCTCCCAAAGTGTTGGGATTACAGATGTGAGCCACCACATGCCTGGCCTGAGTTTGCCTTCTAAAACCGTTCCATTGCTGGGTTTCTGTGGCGCCATTTCACCAGTGAAGTTCTTTTTGTTTGTTTGTCTTTTAATTCATTATTTGTTAAGAATTTTGTTTATACCAGGCATGGTGGCTCATGCCTGTAATCCCAGCACTTTGGGAGGCTGAAGCAGGTGGATCACGAGGTCAGGAGATTGAGACCATCCTGGCTAATCACTAAAAATACAAAAAATTAGCTGGGTGTGGTGATGGGTGCCTGTAGTCCCAATTACTTGGGAGGTTGAGGTGGGAGAATGGTGTGAACCCGGGAGGCGGAGCTTGCAGTGAGCTGAGATCACACCACTGCACTCCAGCCTGGGCAACAGAGCGAGACTCCATCCAAAAAAAAGGAATTTTGTTTCTTTATTTTTGAATAGGTAACATATTTCGTGGCTCACAGATTGAAAGTAGGCTGGGCTTGGTTGTTCATGCCTGTAATCCTAGCACTTTAGCAGGCCAAGGTGGGAGGATAGCTTGAGTCGAGGAGTTTGAGAACAGCCTGGGTGATGTAGTAAGATCCTGTCTCTACAAAAAATAAATTAAAAAAAAATTAGGTGGGTCTGGTGACATGTGCCTGTAGTCTCAGTTACTTGGGAGGCTGAGGTGGGAGGATTGCTTGAGCCCGGGAGGTTGAAGCCGCAGTGAGCCATGATCATGTCATTGCACTCCAGCCCAGGTGACAGAGTGAGACCCTATCTTTAAAAAAATAAATTAATTAATGACAAACATTATGTAACAAAATGGAGTAAAATGACTTTCTACACTATCTGTCCTGGGCCGAGTTCTATTCCAAATAATCACTATTTTAAATCTCTTCCAGAGTGTGTGTATCTGCAAATAAAAGTATTTTTTTCCTTTATTTTATACAAATGGTACTGTATACTACTTGATGTACTTACTGTACACTACAAGGTGTTTAGCATCTTGTTTTACTTAGTGGTATATTTTAGAGAACTTTCCAAATACATATAGAATTTCCTCATTCTGTTTACACCTGAGTGGTGGTGTTTGCATGGATATGCCATAATTTATGTAATTTATATAGGTAGGCTTTTAGGTTGTCTCAAGCTTTGCTGTTTGAAACAGTGCTATAACAAGTACCCTGTACATCTCATTTTGTTTTTGTTTGAGTGTGTGCCTAGAATAAGTTCTTAGATTTGGAATTGCTGGATCAAAAGATATGTGCATTTGTAATTTTGGCATCTTTTACCAAGTTGCTTTCCATCAAGATTGTCCTAGTTTGTATACCCACTCACAATGTTTGAGTCACTTGAATGCTTACTCTTATTAGGTTGTATCCCAGTTGTCAGCAGAGGCATTTTCAACTTACCTACATGGGATTTGGTTTAGACATTACATGGAAAGGGCCCTCAACTTTTTTTTTTGGTCTAAAAATAGGCCACCAAGGCACATATAAAACTCAACACTAAGAAGCTTTATCAAGCAGATGGGTATGCAGTAAAAGAGCTGTTGAAGATCACATCTGTCCTTTATAATGCTATGAAGACCAAGGGGATGGAGGGCTCTGAAATAGTAGAGGAAGATGTCAACAAATTCAAGTTTGATCTTGGCTCAAAGGTAAGGACAACGAAAGCCTTGTCGTGAGCGATGGAGCATTGATTTCTTGAAGTCTGAAATGGAAGGAGTCTGATACAGCTCCGCTGCTTTTCTTCCTCCTCAACTGAGGGCAGTTTGTCAGTTTCGTGCTCATCAGCGTTTGGATAAAGGCAAATTCACAATCCAGTAATTCAACTATTTATTAAAAGCTTAGTATTTGTCAGGTAGCATTCAAGCGCTGGGGATACAGTTGTGGACAAAAAGGACAGAAATCATGTGTTTCTGCTCTTTAGTTGGAGGAGTCAGACTGTGAACAATAATGTAAGAGGTGTGGAAGGTCAGATGCAGTGCAGTCTGCGGAGAATAATAAGCTGGGATGGGGATGGACGCTGCCCGGGGTGATCTTAGATAGGGCGATTAGGAAGGCCTCATAGATTGAATGGTGTTTCCAGCAGAGATCTGAGGGAGGGAAAGAGTGAGTTGTGCAGTTGGCGGGTGGCGACAGGGTGTCTCAGGATGAGAATTTGTTTGGGGCTGGGTGCGGTGACTCACTTCTGTAAGCCAAGCATTTTGGGAGGCTGAGGTGGCAGGATCCTTTGAGGCCAAGAGTTCGAGACCAACCTGGGCAACATAGTGAGATGCCATTTTTACCAAATAAAGAAGAGAATTAGCAAGGCGTGGTGGTGCACACCTGTGGTCCCAGCTGCTCAGGAGGCTAAAGTGAGAGGATCTCTTGAGCCCAGACAGTCGAGCCATATTCAGGCCACTGCTCTCCAGCCTAGGCAACAGAACGAGACCTTATCTGGGGGGAAAAAAAAAGAATGTGTTTTGTGTGTTTGAGAAAAAGCAAGGAGGCAATGTGATGAGGGTTGGGAGTGACAGACCCTCTAGTGCCTGGGAAGCCCCTGGAAAGCCTTTGCCTTTGCCTCTGAGGTGGGAATTATTGGGAACCAAGCAGAATCTTCTGTGCTTATTTCCCATCCAAAGGGTTGCTCTGGCTGCTGAGCTGCCATCAGACTGAAGCGGGAGGTAGGACTGGAAGCAGCGAACTTGTTTGAAGAGTGAGGGGTGACCATGGCTTTGAGCAGAGTGGTGGTGGGAGAGGCGCTGTCAGGTATCAGGGAGCCACTGCAGCAGCAAGCCAGAAATAAGGGTTAAGCCTTTAGTTAAGCCCAAGGCCTCAGAGCAGGAGACCTAGGAAAGAAGGCCCCGGGGCTGGGAATGCACCTAGGAGCGTGGCCACGCAGGGTGCCTGAAACCACAGTGTGCTGGCCGAGCTCCAAGTCTGGTGCAGGGAAGAAAGCTTCCCCTGTGAGGCCTGCTAGGTGAGGCCTTGTCATTGGCTATGGTTGGGCTTGAAAAGTCACACATAGATGTTTAGTTTTGTTTTGTTTTGTTTTGAGACAGAGTTTCACTTTATCGCCCAGGCTGGAGTACAATGGCACGATCTTGGCTCACTGCGCCTCCGCTTCCCAGGTCCAAGAGATTCTCCTGCCTCAACCTCCTAAGTAGCTGGGATTACAGGTGCACACCACCATGCCCGGCTAATTTTTTTTTTTTTTTTCTTTTTTTGAGATGGAGTTTCACTCTTGTTGCCCAGGCTGGAGTGCAGTGGCACGATCTCAGCTCACCGCAATGTCTGCCTCCCAGGTTCAAGTGATTCTCCTGCCTCAGCCTCCTGAGTAGCTGAGATTACAGGCATGCGCCACCACGCCCGGCTAATTTTGTACTTTTAGTAGAGTCAGGGTTTCTCCATGTTGGTCAGGCTGGTTTGAATTCCCGACCCTGGTGATCCACCCGCGTCAGCCTCCCAAAGCGCTAGGATTACAGGCATGAGCCACTGCGCCTGGCCTTGTATTTTTTTTTTTTTTTTTTTAGTAGAGATGGGGTTTCACCATGTCAGCCAACTAGTCTCAAACTCCTGACCTCAGGTGATCTGCCTGCCTCGGCCTCCCAAAGTGCTGGGATTATAGGCGTGAGCCACTGCGCCTGGCCTCACACATGGGTTTTTAACCAGGAGCGACACTTGACACTTGTCAGCAGAAGTGTCTACAGATTGAGGCATATTTTGATGGTAGATCTCATAGGATGAGGCGTGGGTTGAGAGTAAGCCAGGTGCTACAGGCAAGGTCTTGGGGCAGCTGTGTGGCAGAGCTTGCAGAGCTTGTGGGTGTGTTCCACCTCTGTGCTGTACTCTACAGGAACCACTGGCCACATGTGGCGAGCACAACTGAGGAACTGAGTTGAGTTCTGCATTTTCTTTAATTTGTAAGTAATTTAAGTGAAAATAGCCACATGTGGCTAGTGGTTACTATATTAGACATCACTGCTCTGAAGTTTTTTATGTGAGCCCCTGAAAGGATGAAGTTGCCATGTACTGAAGCAGAGATGGTTCTGGACATGCTCCATTTGCCACGCCCATTGGCTGTCCGGGTGGAGAAGATGTGCAGGTAGCTAGTATGTGAGACTAGAGCCCAGGGAAAGCCCAGGCTGGATCTGGGAGCTGGGGGAGGAATCAGCACACAGATGGTATTAAAGCCGTGTGGGTAGGAGCAGAGCCAGCAGAAAAGACAGGGGGTCCCGGGACGACACTGACTCCCTCCAGTGTTGAGAAGCAGAGAATGTGACAGACTCCTGCAAAGAAGTTTGGGGATGTGCTGCTCGGAAGGGAGAAAAGCAGCTAGAGCCAGAGCAGGCTGGATCCTGGAGGACTAAGGAAGAGGGAAGCAAGCTATCAAAGCCATCAGCTTCGAATGAAGAGGGAGAGTTGTTGCTAGTGGGTTGAAAATGAGAGCCAGAACGTGGGGATTGGTTGTCCAGGAGAGAGGGAGAGTGAGCAGAGCAGGGAGACGTTTATGTTTGGGCTCATTAGAAGAGTTAGCATATTCCAGGAAGAGGGGGTGACACGCGCATCCTAAAAAGCCTGTGCAAAGGGATCGGTGCTAAATCCTCACTGTGCTTGTCATCGCCTTCCTGGCAACAGCTGCCCCTCTGTGGAGCCCAGAACCATTGTAAGTCCTTAGTGGGTGCCACCCCATTTGAGCCTCTCCAAGCCTGTGGAGGAAAGTCTGAGGCAGAGAAGAAGGACAGGGAGGTACAAAACACAGGCTGTCAGGCTGCTGCAAGAGGATGTGTGTCCCTCAGGCTGTCCCTTCATGTGGTCACTCTGCTGCTGCCGGACACCCTCTACTGTGACAGAGTCCAAGTAGGAGGCATGTGGGCTTTCTCCCAGCTATGCCCTCCTGGTTGGGGCTTCAGTTTGATGTGACATTAGGTTTTTTGGAGAGACCTAAGCATCCTGAAATTGGTCTCTTTAGTACTTAGATGATTATTTCTTGAGTGTGTGTCCTGAAGCCTGTGAGCATGTGACTGGGGAAGCACATGTTTGTGGTCACGTGTCCCAACCAAAGGTAGGAGCTGACATGAACAGGCTGGTGGTTAAATGCATGTTAAAAATCTGTGGCTGGCTGGGCGCGGTGGCTCATGCCTGTGATCCCAGCACTTTGGGAGGCCGAGGTGGGTGGATCACCTGAGGTCAGGAGTTAAAGACCAGCCTGACCAACATGGAGAAACCCTGTCTCTACTAAAAATACAAAGTTAGCCAGGCGTGGTGGCACATACCTGTAATCCCAGCTACTTGGGAAGCTGAGGAAGGAAAATTACTTGAACCCGGGAGGTAGAGATTGCGGTGAGCCAAGATCGTGCCATTGCACTCCAGCCTCGGCAACAAGAGCAAAACTCCGTCCGTCTCAGAAAAAAAAAAAAAGAAAGAAATCTATGACTGGCTGAACATGGTGGTTCTGCCTATAATCCCAACACTTTGGGAGGCTGAGGTAGGAGGGTCACTTGAGGCCAGGAGTTAGAGAGCAGCCTGGGTAACATAGCCAAGACCCTGTCTCTATTAAAAAAATCTGTTGCTGAGGGTTCTGTTTTTGTTATTTTCCTTCCAGATTGCAGATTTGAAGGCAGCCAGGCAGCTTGCGTCTGAAATCACCTCCAAAGGAGCATCTCTGTATGACTTGCTCGGCATGGAAGTAGAGTTGAGGGTAAGCATTCCAATACTCCTTAACTATGCAGATTTTCTCTTCAAGGTTTTCTTTTTCAATTCTGTTTCTCCCTTTTCAGTTCTGATTTAATGAAATACACCTCGTTGAATGAGCAAATATGTGGAAAGGTGATACAGGATGTTAGCTGCCCTTCCTGCTTCTGGTGGGCACTGGTCTACATTCATTCATTCATTTATTTGAGACAGAGTCTCGCTCTGTCGCCCAGGCTGGAGTGCAGTGGTGTGATCTCGGCTCACTGCAAGCTCCGCCTCTCGGGGTCACACCATTCTCCTGCCTCAGCCTCCCGAGTAGCTGGGACTACAGGCGCCGCCACCACGCCTGGCTAATTTTTCTGTATTTTTAGTAGAGACAGGGTTTCATCATGTTAGCTAGGGTGGTCTTGATCTCCTGACCTCGTAATCCGCCTGCCTGGGCCTCCCAAAGTGCTGGGATTACAGGCATGAGCCACCGTGCCCAGCACTGATCTACCTTTAACTTCTCGTTTAGGAGTGGCAGCTCCATGGCATGTGACTGAGCTGTCCTTGTTGTGCCCTGGCAGACTTTATTGGTCATGATGCTTTTTTCTGGTGTACCCTGCTTCAGCATTCTTCTCAAAAATGATCTTCTGAGATTGCAGTTCCCAGACCTTGCTATCCAGTGCAAACACCTGGGAACCTCTAAAGACTTCTGAAGCCTGGCTTTCACTCTGGGTTCCTTGTTATGGAATGTGACCTGGGCACTGGGAGTTTTCAGATTCTCCCAGGTGATTCTAACAGCAGAGTTTGGGACCAGCGATCTTGGTGTCACTTCCAGTCAGCTGAAGTTGATGTTGCAATGCAGAGTGATTTGATTTGCAATCCTTGTTGCAGCCAATGCCAGCCAAGAAGTATGTGCCATCACCTACATTTAAGCAGCTGTTTAAGAGTAGAGTGGTGTTTATTTTTTATTTTTTAAATTTTGTTATTTTTTTGAGACGGTCTCACTCAGTTGCCCAGGCTGGAGTGCAGTGGCTTAATCTCGGCTCACTACAGCCTCCGCCTCCCGGGTTCAGGTGATTCTCCTTCCTCAGCCTCCCGAGTAGCTGGGATTACAGATGTGTGTCACCACGCCTGGCTAATTTTTGTATTTTTAGTAGAGACAGGGTTTCATCATGTTGGCCAGGCTGGTCTCAAACTTCTGATCTCAAGTGATTCGCCTTCCTCAGCCTCCCAAAGTGCTGGGATTACAAGCGTGAACCCCTGCGTCTGGCCTAGAGTGTAGCAGTGTTTAATCCTTACCTGTAAAGATTTATGGCATTTGGGCCGGGCGTGGTGGCTCACGCCTGTAATTCTAGCACTTTGGGAGGCCGAGGTGGGCGGATCACGAAGTCAGGAGATCGAGACCATCCTGGCTAATACAGTGAAACCCCGTCTCTACTAAAAATACAAAAAATTAGCCAGGCGAGGTGGTGGGCGCCTGTAGTCCCAGCTGCTGGGGAGGCTGAGGCAGGAAAATGGCGTGAACCCGGGAGGCGGACCATTCAGTGAGCGGAGATCATGCCACTGCACTCTAGCCTGGGCGACAGAGCAAGACTCTGTCTCCAAAAAAAAAAAAAAAAAAGATTTATGGCACTTGAAGCATATGTGCTCAATCTACTGCTTTAAAATTAAATGAATTTCTTTAATTCACTTCCTATCAGGAATGCCATCCATGGCTTCTCTCTCTCACTGCCTTGCCTATGTTTGGCATACCCTGGGAGCAAACCGGAAGTGGAAGTCTGGGGAAGAGGGGCTTAGGTGCCAGGTTGCTATGTCTGCTTATCATATATTGACCTGTCAGTTGCCACCGATGAAGTGTGGTTGGCAGAATGAAACTGCCACTGACATATGCTAGCTAATTCAGATGATGAATAAGGCACCTCCAGGCTTTCCCCTGTTCTGTTTGTAGTGCAGTGGTGTACATATGTCTGTGTGTGTCCCTAAGAGACCCAGAGACAGGAGCTGGACACTTGCTGATTGCCACTAGAGCTGTGGCATCATTGTGAGACTTCACTTCCATCCCACAGGGACTCTTTTAGCACCATCCTGTAAAGAATGATGAAGTAACCAGTGGTAGAACTGTTCCCAAGGAAACCAAGAGAGACCCTGAATGTAGTACTTTTCAAACTCTGTATGTAGTCATGATCCGAGGAAGAGCCCCTATCCAATGTTTGTTTTTCTTTCATTCAGTAAACGTTTACTGAGGTGCAGCCCCAGCCACAGGCAAGGCACTGAGTTCTGCCTCCTTGACTAAGTCCTCACCCTGCCCTCAGCCGTTCCCACCAGCGTGTGCAGGTGCACCGTGGAAGAAAGGAAGCACAAGACGAGTTTTGACACAGTGCTCTAGGAACCTTGTCTTACTCCATTCAGGCTGCCGTCACAAAACACAATAAGCTGAGTGTGACTTGTAAATAACAGATTTCTTTCTCACAGTTCTGGAGATTGGGAAGTTCTAGATGAAAGGACTAACAGATTCAGTGTCTGGCAAGGGCATGTTCCCAACAGATGTTGCCTTGTTGCTGATTCCTCACATGGCAGCAGGGGTGAGGGATCTCCCCAGGGTTTCTCTTATGAGCTAATCACCTACTAAAGGCCTCACCTCTTAACATCATCACATTGTGGGTTAGAGTTTCAACATATGAATTTTGGAGTCAAGCAAATATTGTCTATAGCAAACCTCATAACTATATCCACATTAAAATCCCATGTCTCAGAAGTTTTCAGCACTGATGTGATAGTCACGGATGTCTCCCTTGATTGGTTAATGGTTCATGCTAGGGGCAGGGCCATGGTAACTGTTCTTGTCGGTTGTGTTTGTTAGCGATAGGCAACTGAGAGGGACTTCATCCTAAGAAAGATTAAAGAGGCTGGCAGGGGATCCTGACAGCAAGTTGAACTGTACTTAGTTTGGGCGTCACCTGGACAGAATGCAGGTAAAGAAGCAAATTTGGGGCTGGGCACAGTGGCTCATGCCTGTGATCCTAGCACTTTGGGAGGCCACGGAATGTGGATCACTTGAGCCTAGGAGTTTGAAACCAGCCTGGGCAACATAGTGAGACCCTATCTCTCTTAAAAAAAAAAAAAAAAAAGAAGCAGCAAGTAAATTTGGGAGAAAAAATAGTGGATGCTAAATTCAGTTTTGCTCATAGAGTTGGGGTCACATGGGCCTCTGGCTGAAAAGGAGGATCTTGAGCTCTGGAGAGAGGCTGGGTAGGCGCTTAGATGATGGAAGACATTATAGGAGGTGATGGTGGAAGTGTTTTTGCATCAGAGATTCACGTTGTAATGAAACTTTGGAGAATCAGTCCATAAGGCACGTCTAGATCTAGGAATACTGATTTTGAGAACTCCTTTTCTGAAAATATTTGTAAATGATTTTACCGTTTCCCTAGGAAATGAGAACAGAAGCCATTGCCAGACCTCTGGAAATAAATGAGACTGAAAAAGTGATGAGAATTGCAATAAAAGAGATTTTGGTAAGATAACTTTGCTTTTATATAATGTTTTTAATGCCTGGGATTCAAAAATACTGATTTCTTGCCCATACGAGACAGAACAAGCTAGGCTTAGTAACGAGGGATGTGTTAGTGGGGAAACGAAAAACTCAGAGGACATTCGAGCATACCTAGGTCACTTGCTATCATTTTTTCCCCTCGTTATAAATAAAAACAACTTCTCATGTTGTTAAAAATTCATCAGTTTCAGTAATTTGATAATTTTCAGTTATTCAAGAATTTTAATAAATAATGTTCTATTTTATTTTGTTTAACCAATTCCTCACTGCTTAGTATTTAAATTATTTCAGGGTTTTCTAAATTCCAGACAGCACTGTAATAAGTAGAAGGATCACCATTGTTTCCTGCCCACCCACATCAGTTATCCTCTCCTCTAAAGGAGTCAGTTGGAAGGCAGATCATGAGGGTGACTTTAGACTCAGATTGCTTGGGTTTGAATTCCACTGTTTGATCTTAGGCAAATTACTTAACCTCTCTGTGCCTCATTTTCCTCATCTGCAAAATAGCAAGAACTGCATTCCCAACTGTGTGGGGTCCTTATAAATATTAATCACGACAGGGCATATCAAGCCTCGTCTCTGATGCACAATAGATATTCAGTCATCATTGATGATTTCTTTTACTCAGTAGACACAGATGGGGGCCCCTGTGTACATTCAGAGTAGGCATAGAACAAGAATTTGCTATGAGTTATACAAAATTCTAAAAATCATAGGTTTTTAAAAATATATCATTCTCTTGTCATTAAACTGTAGTAACCCCTGGGTAGCCCAGCCCAGGAAGTCAGAGCCTCACAGGAGGAGAAGGGCACCACAGCCCTGATTTGGAGGTTGGTGACAGATAGGCAGATGGATCAGATAAGTAAAAATATGGTAATGATAACGAAGCCACGTTCCTCACTGTTGGAGAAAAAAGTCACAAAAATGTCACAAAAATGGAAAGAGAAAATTAGAGTGAACCTGAAATTGGAGGTGTTGGTTAAATGCATAGTTTTCAATATATAGATAGATATAGAAATAAATTTTGATATGCATGTATGTACATTTAAGGAATTACATACATATGTATATAAGTATGTTTTATTTGTATACATACACACAGACACACCCACACTCATACATTTCTTATCTCTGAGCACACCTAGCACCTGGCTTAATACCATTCTCCACCAAAAGGAACCAGAACTCTTAGGGGTAAATGGCTGATTCCAGAGTTGGGCCGGAGCAGTACAAGAAAGTAAGGAAGAGCTCAAAGGAGGAAAGGGAGCTGTTGCAAGCATGCAGAAGTCAACTTGAGTGGGCCTCTCCTGGCCAAAGTAAGGACAACTTAAGCATCAAAATAAGTTAGAATAATTAATTTTATGGCATAATAGAATGAAATAGGAAACCATGAGTTCTCACTGGCATAAAAAAAAATGAGGCCGGGCACAGTGGCTCACACCTGTAATCCCGGCACTTTGTGAGGCCGAGGCGGGCGGATCACGAGGTCAGGAGATCGAGACCATCCTGGCTAACACGGTGAAACCCCGTCTCTACTAAAAATGCAAAAAATTAGCTGGGCGTGGCGGCGGGCGCCTGTAGTCCCAGCTACTCGGGAGGCTGAGGCAGGAGAACGGCGTGAACCCGGGAGGCGGAGCTTGCAGTGAGCCGAGATTGCGCCACTGCACTCCAGCCTGGGCGACAGAGCGAGACTCTGTCTCAAAAAAAAAAAAAAAAAAAGAATATTGGAAGCTGAGGAGGAGCAGGTCATTCACACAGTTTCAAAGTAGCTTTCCACAAAGTACTTTTTTTTTTTTTTTTTTTTTTTTTTTCTGAGACAGAGTCTCGCTCTGTTACCCAGGCTGGAGTGCAGTGGCACAACCTCAGCTCACTGCAACCTCTGCCCCTAAGGTTCAAGTGATTCTCATGCCTTAGCCTTTTGAGTAGCTGGGATTACTGGGGCACACCACCACACCTGGCTAATTATTGTATTTTTGTTTTATTTTATTTATTTATTTATTTTTGAGACGAAGTCTTGCTCTGTCGCCCAGGCTGGAGTGCAGTGGCGCCATCTCAGCTCACTGCAACCTCTGCCTCCTGGGTTCAAGCAATTCTTGTGCCTCGACCTCCCGAATAGCTGGAATTATAGGCATGTGCCACCACACCCAGCTAATCTTTGTTTTTTTTTTTGGTGGAGATGGGGTTTTGCCGTGTTTGGCCAGGCTTGTTTCAAACTCCTGACTTCAGGTTATCCGCCCACCTTGACCTCTCAAAGTGCTAGGATTACAGGCATGAGCCACCGTGCCTAGCCCACAGAGTACTTATTAATTACAGAGGGGAAAAGAGTCACTTCTCAGGGAGAAGCCTGTCAGTCACCCCCTTAATCAAGTGATCAAAGTGAAGATTATCGTTGTAGAACAAATCAAAATGATGCACGCCTGGTAGGATGCAGTCACTTCTGAGTATTCCTGCCAACAATGCATATCTGACTCTAATGAGACAAAGCCAAATTGAGGGACATTCTACAGATGAAGCAGCCTGTATGCTCCCAAAGTGAAAAGGTTCTGAAAGTCAAGGAAAGCTGAGGGGGCATTTCAGACTAAGGGAGGCTGTGGAGATGTGATGACTGGACACATATGGCAGCTCCTGTCTGCTGTTGGGGACTTCATGGGGCAAGTGGGGACAGTGGAGTGGGGCTGGGGTTAGATGGTGGTAGTGTGTCAATGCTGGCTTCCTGTTTTGATGATTGTATTGTGGGGATGTAGGAAAAAGTCCTTATTTGTAGGAAATACACACTAAAGTATCTAGGATGTTGGAACATCTGGTCAGCAACTTACCTAGGCTGGGAAAACCGTTTTGTGTTGTACAACAGGTCTTACGTAAATTTTTGATTGTTTCTAAATTTAAAAATTAAAAAAAAAGTGTTATACCTCTAAATGCTTGCCAGTGTTCTAACTGAATCAGGCGAACACGGCATGAATGTGCCCTTAGCACTAATATGTTAAAAGTAGAACACCCAAGAGGGGACAGGGTTCATTTCTTGGTAGAAATCTCTTAAGACTCCTTTCATTGTTAGAAAATATCTGTGATGTTTGATCATTCTAAAAACTAAACCAAAACAACAACATGGGTACTTAAAAGGGGTTAGGAAGTACAGGCCATTTATTTCAGAAACCAGGGAAAATTGTTTGTGTTTACACAGCTGTTTTGCATTGTGGATCTTTCTTGTTTGAGGAACAGATATGTTTAAGGTGGGATAAATGTACAAGGTTTTAATCTGACTTTGGTTCAAGGAAATAGTTGCCATTGACCGAAGTTGTTTAGAAAGGAGACCCACCTTTCTTCCTGTGAGGGTGAACTCACATTTCTCCTGGGGGCTTTAAGGCACTTGCAGCAAATGGATGATGAGGATTTGATTATTTTAATGAAAGTATCTTAAAAATGGCCAGTGTACTTAGACCAAAAAAATCAGACCATAAATGCATTGTCAGTAACAGTGGCTGCTTCCAAAACACACCATCCCTGAGAGTTGTGGAGAGTGTCTGGGCTTCTTAGGCCATTTCTCTGTGGAGCCCATAGCTTTTCAGAGACTTGCAGGAAAACAGAGTAACCGCTTTACGGGATGCTACACGTAGGCAAAGTGCTGGAGGAGAAAGCCCCACCTTGGCCACCAGGAACTTAATGCAGGGCTGGAAAGCCAGAACCCTGGGGGGACAGTTCCACGCTCAGCTGGGTGGCAGTCCAGATTCCTCGTGAAGAGATTGGAGCCTGAACCACAGGCATGTGACCTGGCAGGCCACTGGACAAGACGCATGTGAAGACAGTGCGCTACCTGTCACTCTACCTGCCTCAAATGAACCTTTTCTTAGGATAGGGAGACTTGTGTCATTGTCAGTGGGCCCGTGTCCCCTTTCCCTTCTTTACTCAGCCTCTGTTGCCCAAGGGCCTCTCTCTGACTGTTGCTCTGGGCCCCTTCCCGAGCTGGTGCACGTCAGTGTGGCCAGTGCCACTGCGGGAACTGCTTTTGTACTGACTTCAGCATGGTTTCTTCTCATTTTTAGTCTGTAGTCAAGCTTCTGTTGCCAGGGAGAGGGAAGAGGGACCTTCTCTCAGTCCCAGCAGGCAGTGGGTTAGGGCTGGGACCAGCTGTTTCTCTCTGTCCCCTCTAGCAGTACTTGGTGTGTGTGTATTCTGTAAGTCGGGTGTTTGTAACTAGGGGCATGGCCTGAATGATAAAAAGGCAGATTGACCATCCAGACTGATGTGTACCTTGTTCCAACCGAGTGAGCCAGACAAAAGATGGCAGGCCTCTCCACCTTGACCAGGACACTCTTCTTTCCATCTTCACTTCTTTCCCTGGGCAGAAATGCCTGCTTTTCATGGGGGAGAAAAAGATAACTTTTTCTGGACCTGTGTGACATTCTCCCTGGAACTAGTGGGTTAAGTGAGTCATTGCTTGGGGAAGTGTGTACTTTATTTATTTGCTTTTGTGTTTGTTGAGCATAATGTTGCCATGCCTGAAGAGTTGCAGAATTCTTCTGTGAGTTAGGATGGCTGTTTTTATTGCCACCTTGTCTCATTATTTCCCATTAAATATAGACACAGGTTCAGAAGACTAAAGACCTGCTCAATAATGTGGCCTCTGATGAAGCTAATTTAGAAGCCAAAATTGAAAAGAGAAAATTAGAACTGGAAAGAAATCGGAAGCGACTGGAGACTCTGCAGAGTGTCAGGTAGATATGAACACTTGGAGAATGAGTAGAAAGATGTCCTGGAAAGTTCAAACAAACTGGGCGCGGTGGCTCATGTCTGAAATCTCAGCTACTCATGAGGCTGGGGCGGGGGGTTCTCTTGAGCCCAGGAATTTGAGACCAACCTGGGCAGCATAATGAAACCCCATCTCTAAAAATTTTTAAAGATTACCTCAGTGTGGTGGTACACACCTGTAGTCCCAGCTACTTGGGAGGCTGAGGCAGGAGGATTGCTTGAGCCCAGGAGGTTGAGGCTGCACTGAGCTATGGTTGCATCACTGCACTCCAGCCTAAGCAAAAGAACGAGGCCCTGACTCTAAAAGAAAAAAGAAAAGTTAGAACAAAGACTTAAGAGAATAGAATATGATCTTAACTCTTCTTAAGCAATGAAAAAAAGCCTTACATAAAGATATCTTCACCTCAAAATGTACATGTGTTGCCTGTCGTAACAAGCAGATGGCTAAACTCATTCTCTTTACTGCTTGCAGTATGTCTGGAAAACTGCTTTATGCTTGAACTGCCCTTTAAGCTTTTATAGCTTCTTGGAACTCAAGGCAGAGTAAGTGAATCCAGATGGGGAAATCCAGACGTGGTCTGCTAAGATCTTGCCATAAATTAGGTAGAAACAGAAACATACTCCTGCCTCTTTGTTGGCATAGATTTTAGACTTTATTTAAACCTTGATCATTCCTCACCAGTCAGTAATTCGTCTTTCTTCCTACTTTACCTCATTGGAAATGTATTTCCCAGGAATACTGATGGAGAATAGTGGTGCCGGCCCTCTGTTCTCTTGTTCGTTCTGCACCTCTTTCCCTCCCCCGTGCTTCTGCTCTTTCTCCCTTTTCGTTCTCCCTTTATTTTTCTTTCTTCTTGGCTCCCTCCTCTTCCCAGCTGCCTGCTCTGGTCAAATATGTTTTGCCTTTTTGGATGTTGGTGGCTGGCTACACCCTGGCCACTGTCCCAAGGTCTGTGGGGAGACAGCACCTGCGGCAGTGACAGCAACCACAGGGAGCGCCCTGGCTCCTCCCCACCCAGCACAAAGCCGAGGCCCTTCCTGAAACTGGCTATTTACCTCTGGAGCCTCACAGAGGGAAAAAAAAAACAGAAGTCATTGCTGCCAGATAGATTGATCTCCTCGACATATTCCATCTTTAAAGCATCAATTCATTTTTGTTAAGCTCCAAATCCTTCTAACAGAAAAAAAAGTTTCCTTGTTTTGCTGTAGTTCAAATGATTATAATTATTTCTTAGTTTATCTGCTTTTATATATATATATGTATTTTTTTTTTTTTTTGAGACGGAGTCTCGCTCTGTCGCCCAGGCTGGAGTGCAGTGGCCGGATCTCAGCTCACTGCAAGCTCCGCCTCCCGGGTTCACGCCATTCTCCTGCCTCAGCCTCCCGAGTAGCTGGGAGTACAGGCGCCCGCCACCTCGCCCGGCTAGTTTTTTGTATTTTTTTAGTAGAGACGGGGTTTCACCGTGTTAGCCAGGATGGTCTCGATCTCCCGACCTCGTGATCCGCCTGGGATTACAGGCTTGAGCCACCGCACCCGGCCGTTTATCTGCTTATATTTTTAAAAGAGTAGAATTTTTCCTTTAAGGTCAATAATAAGAAAAAAAGAAAAAGTTCAGCAAATCAATTGAAATAGATTTTTATGTTTTTTTGTTTTGTTTTGTTTTTGTTTTTATTGGTTTTTTTTTTTTTTTTTGAGATGGAGTTTCGCTCTGTTGCCCAGGTGGGAGTACAGTGGTGCGATCTCAGCTCACTGCAACCTCCGCCTCCCGGATTCAAGCAATTCTCCTGCCCCGGTCTCTCAGCTAGCTGGGATTACAGGCAGCTGCCACCACGCCCAGCTAATTTTTGTATTTTTAGTAGAGATGGAGTTTCACCCTGTTGGCCAGGCTGGTCTTGAACTCCTGACCTTATGATCCACCCACCTCGGCCTCCCGAAGTGCTGGGATTACAGGTGTGAGTCACCACACCTGGCCTTTTAAAAAAAATTTTTTATCGTTTAAAAACCTCTTTAGACTGGGCACAGTGATTCATGTCTATAATCCCGGCACTTTGAGAGGCCGAGGCAGACAGATCGCTTGAACTCAGGGGTTCAAGACCAGCCTGGGCAACATGGCGAAATCCCATCTATACAAAAAATATATATAAAAAATAGTCGGGCATAGTGGCATATGTCTGTAGTCCCAGCTACTTGGGGGCCTGAGCCAGGAGGATCACCGGAGCCCAGGCGTTTGATGCTTCAGTGAGCCATGATCACACCACTGCAGTCTAGCCTGGGTGACAAAGTGAGACCCTGTCTCAAAAAAACAAACAAAAAAACACCAGCTTTAATTCGTAACAACCTATGGTCCCCTTTTTAGAGGATTGCTTAAAATTTGTAATAGCCTGACAGTAGAACACTATTATTGTTACTATTATTTCTTTTGAGATGGAGTCTCGCTATGTCGCCCAGGCTGGAGTGCAGTGGCGCAATCTTGGCTAACTGCAACCTCCGCCTCCCAGGTTCAAGCGATTCTCCTGCCTCAGCCACCTGAGTGGCTGAGATTACAGGCATGTGCCACCATGCCTGGGTAATTTTTGTGTTTTTAGTGGAGACGAGGTTTCACCATGTTGGCCAGGCTGGTCTCAAACTCCTGACCTCAGTTGATCCGCCTGCCTTGGCCTCCCAAAGTGCTGGGATTACAGGCGTGAGTCACCACACCCGGCCGACAGTAGAACGTTATACCCAAATAAAATAATAATATATATATTTGTTGATTTTGGGGGATGTGTCTGGTATGTGACTTTTTGCCTTTAGAGATGGGGTCTCAGCGTGTCCCCAGGCTGGAGGGCTGGAGTGCCATGGCAAGGTCAGAGGATCCTCACTCACTGCAGCCTTGAACTCCAGGCTCAATCCTTCTCCTACCTCATCCTCCCTAAATGCTAGGGTTACAGGTGTGAGCCGATGTACCCGGCCTGATCTTTTTTAACTCTATTGACATTATGATATATTGAAATGAAAAAAAAGATTATAGAATTTCTTAGTATGTTTAATTTTTGTTTAAAATGCATTCCTATCTATATGCATAGAAAAGTCTGGAAGGATATATGTCAACTATCAAACGCTTATACCTGGTGATGGGATTATCAGTAATTTTTACATCATTTTTCATACTTTCAGGATTATTTCAAGTTTTTACAAAGAGTGCATCTTATGATGAGAAAGAAGTATGTCCATTTTCGGGGGAGAAAGGAGAAGAGGGAAAATATTTGTAAGCAGTTACAAGAATGAAGGCCCTTCTCTAATTAAGGGTTTCCAGAGAAGGCCACCATGGAGTCTAAAACTGTGAATACCCATTTCAAACTACTGCACATTAGCTCACCTTTCCCTTTTTATTTCATTTGCTTGTCTTAGGCCATGTTTTATGGATGAGTATGAGAAGACTGAGGAAGAATTACAAAAGCAGTATGACATTTATCTGGAGAAATTTCAAAATCTCACTTACCTGGAGCAGCAGCTTGAAGAGCATCATAGGATGGAGCAAGAAAGGTTTGAGGTGAGCTGAGCCTGTCCTCTGTTCAGCCGTTCCTTCTGGTGTGTTATTTTGTACTGGGTAACAGGTCATTTTGTTAATATTATTGTAAAAAAAATATCAGTACATGTTTTTTCTCCCTGGTCAGTCTGAGGATTGCTCATGTCATGCGTTTGTTTTGCTGGCAGTGTACCCTGGACTCCACGGTTGTCAAATCTTTAATGTCATATTTCATCAGGTTTAGTCAGTTGAGAGTACAGACAGGGCCGACGTGAGGCCTATGCGGCTGCATAAGACCCTGTGCCGACATGGGGCCTGTGCTTGCTTTCAGGCCCTGTTGTCAATGTCTGGAAATTCATAATAATTTTTTTTTTTTTTTTTTTG